CAGGCGATACACAAGAAACGATCTGAAGTGAAATAAGATGTCGCCCTAGGAGATCATGGACTGATGACCAAGCTTCAACATCGACATGAAATGACAATAGCCATTGCTGCCTGCATCACAATCGGGTCCCCCACACCACGCTCCAGGACAGAAGTGCAAATTAATGATTATGAAAGAAAGCTGGAGAGCCACTAAAGAAATTGAACGAAAGTTAACAGCATTCGAAAACAAATACCTGAAGAAAATAAGGAACATAAAATTGGATGAATTCAAGAAAGGTGAAGAATAAGAGAAATGTCTCAGCAACCATTAGTCCTAAAATTTATAAGACAGGGAATATGGTGAGAAAAGACGAACTAAGAATCATCAAACAAACATTGAGGGAGTGAGTGAGTTAGTGAGTGAGTGTGTGTGTGAGGACAACAAAAAAAGTGACAAACACACGATGACACAAAGTGCTGAGATCGGATATAAGACTCCATGAACCTGCTTCAGAAGATATTAATAAGCGTTATAAGCACTGGATTGGTGGAAAGCATTCGAAAATCGCACTTAACCTCCCTCATCTGGATATATACACCTGGTCATGCTGGAGTAAAGGGTTATGAGCGATGGGACCAGCTGGCAAGCAATGCACCTACGCATGTGGGAAGAAGCATGGACAGATTCGATTTCATCATCGCTCTACGGAACAGACTAGTGGCTAATGACGAATCTCTGACACTAACACGAATGTGTGACCATAGAGTAAAGCACGGTGTAGCACATCTATGCTGTCTTCGAGGCCGATATAGGAGACATTATAACAAACCAATTAGTAGAAGTGGAGTGGCTGGTGCGTCGGAAGACTCAGAACACAGGGGAACGCCCAGTCTGCAGTGACGTCGATTATGATAATATAACATTCGTATGAGAATCGCCTGGGCGCAAGCTCCAGCGACCCTGTTCAAATGTTAGGTCATACACGGCGAGGTCAAGATAATATAATCTAGAGCTGGCCGTGGGTATTATTAGTGCCCCCGACGATAGCCGGGGTGCGTCTTTAAACTAAAATAAAATTCGCATCCCAAATTGGGAAGCAAGATAACAAACATTAAGGTTCTTTTTTTTTTAATATCCTACCCCAAACAGAGAAATCAATAGGTCACTGGACAGTGTAATATTTCAGGGAATGGTAGATAGACTGCATTCGGTCGAAAGACCTAGTCTGCATGCAGTCTTGGGACTCTCTCGTGGGACGTAGTTGGGTTGTGGTTAGGGCCAGCTCTAGATGTTTTAGGGTCGTTAAAAGAATCAGAAATCCAGTCTTTTCACCCTTTGTCCTGTGACGTCATCCTTGTTGGATATTAAAAAAGAACCAACATTAAAATAGAATCTGAGGGATTGAGGAAACAAGACATCCAAGAAAAATCCTACAACGAGCGATGTCCGGTGACCTGGGGATTTCCTTGGGGAATTCCTTGTTTACGGTGAATTAATGACAAAGAACGGCACAAGATGCTACCTGGATTCCATTCATCGAAGTGATTGCAGATGACAGAATGGAACCAAGACATAGACTTATGAGAGTCATGTATTTTCCTCCTATAAGTATATATATTCTTTCTCTTGTACCTCCTTGTTTCCTCAAACCATTTGTTGACAATTTCAGTCGGGTGATTATCTGCCCACATTACAGCTGCCGCAAATTTTGAATTAAAATAGAACGCTAAAATGACTACGTTATGCAGATACATATCAGATGTTGGTTCTTTCAGATCTTCACCACTTATGTCTGGAACAAAAGGAGTTAAAGTAACCTACATCTCGGACAGAAAAATCTAATCAGCAAAGTGGCTGGTTTCTGTTTCTCTACATCCCGAGGGAGGCAGACCCGCTGACTCACAGGTTCAGATGTTTCTAACTATTTATGTTGGTGACACACTCCTTGGACAAACAATTTTGGAGCCCAATTTTGCAACGCACTTACAGTCTTCTAGCAAACTAAAAACTAAACTAACCGCTTATGAGAGATACGGGCATGGAGTGTTTAATGAATTACGTTAGCGTGACACACTTCACATTAACAGCCGACGCGCTACTGTGTCGCGACATACACCAGTTTTGAAGGCTCTGTTTTAGTTCTACAAGGTCAATGGCTTCCACGCAAGAAACGATGACGTCACGCCGGTATCGACCAATCAACATGGTTGTATAATGTAAACAACGCCATATTGAGCACAGGAATGCTGACTGGAAAGTTCACGACTCATCGGGAAGGCAGTCATCAAACAAACATATATAAACTGCAGTTTCGTTGCCCTGGCTCTGATTCATACTACGCTCTCAGATATAATCCGAAGCGACCATGCGAGAGTTGTTCAACTGGCTGGAAATAGATGTGTGAGTAATACAGGTGTGGCGCTGAAGAAGCAGCTTACGTTCATTGATTGAGTAGTGAAGTAGTATTCTGTAGTGAAGTGCTGGCAGTAAATTCGGTAACAGACTGTCGACACAGAAAATGGTCTCCGTAGACAGGTTTAGTGCTTTGGAAAATGACCGCTTTATAAACCATCACAGCGGAATAGGAGGATCATTCCCAGGCAGACTACATCCACATTTCTCTTCGTTATTTGATGACGACGTCGTTTTACAGAACCTTAATGAAGGTAATTAATTAATTTTATGTTCATTCATTCATTCAGTAGCATGTCCCTCGCGGAACCTCGCTGCCATAACAACCCTCCGGAAAACCTTCCTATCATGAGCAAGATGTCCTGGCGTCTGATACACCCATCTGGAGATCATCTGCCACATCCTGCACCCATTTCTCCTTGGGCCTTCCTCTTCTCTCTTCCCAGGCATATACCCCTCCATTATTGTTCTCTCGAGACTTCCATGACGTTTCAAGTGACCAAAATATTTCAATTTTCTTTGTTTTATTGTCTTTACTAGCCAACCCTCTTCAATATTCAGCTTTTATGTTAATTATATTTTATGTTAATTATTAAATTTATTGTAGTACTAACTAGTACACACATACTGCACAGTGGAACACGGAAGACTCGTCTAAAGACAACTTTGTGAGTGACATTTTAAATGTCATTTATTAAGTGTAGACTGTAGACTGAAATATGTTGAGTATCATCGTCGCTTACTAATTATTTCAGCCCTTGGACTGGAGTACAGCTGTGTGCTACTAGTACTAATAACTAATCCGGCACTCCTCCGAATGGCACCATAAAATGGCGGCCATAATATGATGCCACATTCAGGCCATAAATTATCCAAAAATTTCCGAACAGTGTTCAGGCATATCTAAAATACGGACTTTCTGCCAAGTAACAAATCGCAGCAAAACTAGGATTACTTGACAATATCAACATTGCACACGGTAGTAGCAGACGAGCAGATTTTCGGCCACTATTTGCAACTTCTGTGCCAGAACTTTCCCATATAATGACGTTAATAATGGGTAAGGAGATGCTCGTGAGTCCCAGCCATCTAGTTTAGTCCCCATCCGCGCATAGCGGCGCGGGAGATACGGTCGGCGGTGAAGCACAGTCGCAGAAGCAGGTCCGCAAGTAACATATCGCTGAGACCCTGTTAGAGCATTTGTTTCGTTATACGGAACCGGCATGTTTTTTATAGAACTGAGCCCCATTCGGATATTTTTGGATATTTTATGGCCAGAATGTGGTCAATTTGGCTCTTCTCCGAGGCATCATATTATGGCCGCCATTTTATGATGCCGTTCGGAGGAGAGCCACTAATCCTAATCCTAATCCAGTTTCTCACTGACCTGGTGTGTACATTTCTACCATGACTTTATTGTCATTTGTTTATTAGTGTGCTAGTCTTTCCTATCTTAAAATATTGTGCCCCTTATTAGTTCTTTCTCTTGTGTTTGTGTGCTGCGATTTATCCAGACTAACATTTTGATCACTTTATGGCACTCTTTCAAAGAACGACCGTAGGAGGATGCAATCAATTGTTTACGGCGATCATAAGGCAGACAATTTATCATTAATCATTTGTGAATGTCCACACAATGATGTTCTGTAATGTCTAACTAAGATTCTTTCAGGTTAGGGTTAGTCCTACTCCGACGCTAAACCTTATCTCAAACATTATAAAATTTAAATGTGAAAGAATGCATTTTAATCATAGTTAGGTTAACATACAGGAAGTAAAGATTATGTCCCCTATGGTCAGTAGTTAAAGTATTGTCAAGTTATAATAGATTACGTCCCCCTAGAAACGCTATTTAATGAATTGTCACAGTTATTGTGGTCTTCCTCCCCACCCTGGTTGATGCCAAGGGCCCTTACGTTTGAACAGGGTTTCTGGGACCTCTCCACGGTTGATCCCCATCCAAATAGTGTCACCGGGTGTTTATCGCTCACTGTGATGTCCCGGTGCTGTAACACAGACAGTCAGTGCCAAAGCTGTGTACATCACAAAATAAACACTGCGTCCCAATATAGGTTGTAGTTTTTGTTGTTTATAAGACCCACCCTGGCATAATGCCGGGTGCCCTAATATAATTAAATCTATGTATTAAACAGGTTTTGTTTTGGTACCTGTTTTGGGGTGATCCTCATCCAAATGGTGGGACTTTGTGTCACCAGGTATTTGTCACTCGGGGTGATGTTCCTGGAGGGGTTGAACGTCAGTCATGAAGTGCCACTTTTATGTTTTTCAATTTCTGTGATGAATACTGGGACTTGTTTGTCAGTTGTTTGTTTATTTTTCTAGCTGATTACTGTGTTCCATTACACAACATGAATATGGACAATACTTTAGTTAAATGCTTCTTGATTTGTTCATCTCTACTGCACAATACTGTATAAACTATATTACATTTTTTTAAACAATTGTCACACATGATATTTGACTGAGGCATGATTGTTATGTTAAGGTAGCAGTAACAAGGTTGCTTCCATGGTATCTGACATTTCTTTGGATTAGTGTCTTTCTCTGTTTCAGTCTAAAAGATTGGGATTATATAATTATCAAGATTTGGTAATGTTTCCAGCTCTAGTGTCTTTTCATTGCCTCCTGATTCAGTGCTGTTTCAATTAGTCTAGATCTCTTCTAAAGCTTTATGTCAGGGATTCAGTCATACCATTTAGTTATGTGTAATCTTCATGGACAATCACTAGGCAGGCCAAAAAGTTTCTTAAGGCCACGGAGATGTGGTTTTACAGAAGAATGCTTAGAATACCTTGGACAGCCAAAAAGAGCAACCAAGAGGTTTTGAAAGTGGCGGGAGCTCGAAGACAACTAATCACCGACATCAGAAGGAGACAGTCATCATTTTTCGGCCATGTTTTGAGAAAAGGGAAAATGGAACATGTTGTGACCACTGGAAAGATCTGTGGAAGGAAGGATAGAGGAAGACAGCAAGAGAAGATTCTTGACAGTCTTGTTGCATGGCATGGAGGTGTGTCAGCACACAAAGTGATACATGCTGCAGGAGATCGCAGATTGTGGAGATGCATGATTGCCCACGCCAGTCAGCAAGACACCTGATGATGATGAATCTTCATGGATAGTTATTAATGATAATTTGGGGTTATCCTATTAATGCCTAATATATTATGGTGTTCACTGGCAATAGAATGATCTGTACTGTGTCACCCAAATTAAATTCCATAGAGAATTATATGGTACTTATTATCTAATGATGTTTAGGACTCATCAGACCGTGTAATTGTTCACTTATCTGGGATAGATAAACCTCCTATATGATACAGTTACATTTAAAAACCAAAATTGTGTACCCAAATTCTGTAATATTTAACACTTAACTGCCAATGCTATGCAATTTTATTTACTTTATCTTTTTCTCTGTCTCTACAGAAATGAAGACAAGATCATCATTTCTAGATTCAGTGTTTCCTTTCTACAATGACATCAGGCCTAGCAGAAACAGCAGTTATAATTTATCAAACCCACTTTCCAACAGCGTATCCTCCCGTATCAGGGATCCGTCAGAACCCTCTGGAAATATTCACGTTATCCCTATCAAAGTTGAGCATCGTCCTGAGAAATCCCAAGACCAGAACACCAAATTCAGTCTTTTCAGTGGGCCCAGCGAAGCACGCAGCAATTACCAGAAATGATTCCGAGCTTTTTCCGAAACATAGTTTTCAAGAATTTGATGACATTTCCTCTTTAGATGCACCGGCTTGGATGACATCAGTGTCTCCAAAAAGTAATAATAAGTTTGTTAGCAGAGATAAACCATATCTAGATTCAGAGTTAAAATCTCATGAGTCAAGTAAAAGCAAAGCTAATGATAACATTGTTGATAGTCCAGTGTTTGATTCACAGCATAATTTACCGCTTTCCACTCTTCAACACAATTCTTGTGGGGGACAACTAGAAAATTGGACAACTATACCTATAAAGCATATAGAATCATCTACTTTTTCTGTGTCTGATGAGGATCTTGATTCAAACAACAACAGTTCTCGCAGACGGTATTCAAGCACCCCAAGAAGCCGCGCTTCCAGCAAAGTCAAATATGATCGAGAAAATTCGAATGATGGCAACATTCAGTCGCAGAGCAACAGGTTCAGAAAAGCTAACCCAGCCTATCACACATCTGCTTCCTCTGAACAAAATCAGTCTAGAAATGATGAAACAAATAACATTACATCAGCGATCAAAGGAGATTTGGATTCACCTGAATTTGAACAAGATGAAGTTGTTTCTCCTCCACACTGTCAGGTGTACCATGATCTGAAAATTAAACTGGCACATGAAGACAGGAAGATTGACTATATCGAAGGGGATGGCAATTGTTTGTTTAGAGCTTTGAGCAAAGGTATCTACGGCAGCGAAAAATATCACAAGGCAATGAGGATGTTTATAGTGAACTTGATTGGAACAAACAAGTCGAAATTTGCTCAGTTTGTTGATGATGAGGATGTTGAGGTAAGTTTCTTTAGATGATGATTTTTTTCTTCCTTTTTCAGGTGTTCTGGAACAGATGTGTTTGATCATAATTCTTTTATCCTTTTTTTTTTTTTTCATTTAATATTTTTAAGTTTGTTTTACATATTTGTTACATTATGCTGATTTAAGTTTTCCACATGTTATGTTTCCCTGTATAGCTCGGAACACAATTTTTTTAAATCAACCTTTTCCAAAGGAAGTATGACACCAGCCAGCTGTACCTTCAAAAGCAGATCCTGATACCTATTTCAGGCTGGGTTCACCAAAAAACCCAGGTCAATTTTGAAATCCACCTCAATTGGGGTTTGAACATATGCACCATGCAGACATGCTAGCCAAAAGAAGCAACTAACTACCTGTACCATAAAAGTGCTGCCGGTAACAACCAGTAAGAATTAAGAAGAAATTTGGGTGGAGTTTCCTGTGAATAAAGAGTTCATTGCTCACTGAATAAATAATTGAATTTGCTTTCAGTTGTCCACTTTTATCAGGATCGTATTGATTTTTTAGCCCAGGGTATATACAGGGTGATGAATAGGTTGAAAAAAAGGGCTTCTGCCATTCCTCTGGATGGCAGTCTACTTTGTAATTTAGATATGTTGAGAGTTTTGTGAGATTAGGTAGAAATTGCAGCAGAACACTGTGACATATATCAGCTGGGAATAAGTGGAGGGTCTGGATTAGTGTTTTTCAACCTACAGGCTGCAGCCCGCTGGCTGGTAGGCCATAAAAAAGTCCAGGTCCACAGACACAAATTTTTGAAAAATTCTGTAGCAATGAGTGTATATTCATCTCAGAGTTGTACAGCTATCCGACTTTTTTCTTCCTATTTGTGTGAAAAAACTTTCTCAGCCATGTCATTAATAAAAACCAAACGGAGAAATTGAATGGGTGTTATTAAAATGTTTCATGTGTCAGAAACAACTCCCTGACGATGTCTGTCAGATTTTCTAACCTCTAATCAGCAGCAAATGTTGCAGTGCGGAATACTGTCATTTTATTACATCAGATTTAACAAATCAACTGCTATCTACATTTTTTTTGTTTTTTTCTTTATTAGTTCGATGTCAGTTGGACTGCAAAATAATAATCCCCTTATGGTGGGCCTTGAGTGTAAAATGTTGAAAAATTCTGGTGCAGCAGAAAACGCATAGCCTACTTTTGACAAGGTTGCCAAATGCATCATCAGCATGTAAACTTTGTTGTCTACTGAAGAATGGTTTGGTCTAACAATGTTAAAAGAATTCCAATGTACGGAATACATTTTTTTATGACTCCTTTCATTGCATCATGAATCAACTTCTTTCATCCAACCTTGGTTTTCCCTTTTGAAATTGTTTTGTGAAATGTATTTTTTTAATTCTGAATATTTAAAAAGTGAAGGACTATTTTCCATGCTTACTGGCATATTTGGCACATACGGCTAGATCTGTATTTTATAGAGCACTTGGTTGGTTATGTGGTCAGCATCATGTCTGCTGCCTTTATTTCCCAGGACTTTACCTAGTACCCATTTAGCCTTGGTCAGTCTGGGAGCCAAGGTCACCTTTGAGAAGTCGGGTTATGTCCGGATGTGAACCCATGACCTTCAAATCTGCAGGCAGGCATCTGGGTGCTACACAATAATGGCTCCCTTCTGAATTTTTATGAGCTTTTAAACTACCAGTCTTTTAACCCATATTTTATCTGTTATGTTTCAACAGGAACACATTAACAGGATGTGCAAAGATGGTTGCTGGGCAACAACTTGTGAAATTTATGCAGCGGCTACACTCCTTCAGAGAGACATCTTCATGTTAACCCCGGACCACATGAATGAGAAATACTCTTGGCTCCTCTTTCAGCCAGTCTTCAAAATAAACGAAGCTCTAAGTGTGGCCAACACGCATCCCTGCTACATTACTCTTTGCAATACAAATGGGAATCACTATGATCGGATTGTTCCAGATCACGGTGGATGCAACTGTTTTCTTCCACATCCGGAGTTAGATGGATTGTCTACAGACTCTACAACATCTGCAGATACAAGTTCAGCAGGCTATGTTACTTTTAAGCATTAACTGTAATTTCTTTTTCCATATTTTGTAAAATAGCTAGTTTGATATTTATCTAAAATATTTTTGCCCTTTAGGCTAAAATCCGTCCGTTATTCTCAGTCAGTCAGCAGCATATCCTTTGCAGAACCTTGCTGACATAGCAACCCTCCGTCACATCCTGCAGCCATCTTCTCTTTGGCCTTTCTCTTCATTATTCATTATTCTTTGTTATTATCAGTTATGTAAACCTTCAGAATATGATATCTGTTAAATTGTTGTTAAATCCTTCCGGTGTATGTATAAATCAATAAAAATAATTATTCATTTTCAAATTTATTTATTTATTTTTTTTTTTTTTTTGTTAGTAAATTTTCAAAAAGCAGTGCATAAATTTGTTCTGCTTGCGAACAAGCTCGTTGTTTGTCACTATCATGTGTCATTCAAATACGCTTGGGCAGTAGTGGTTTTTTTGTGTGGTACAATTGCCATAATCTCTGTTTAAGATCCCCCCCCCCCCCCCCCCCCACCCCTCCCCAATCTGGTTTTGAAAGACTGCTGATTTGTTTTACTGCCCACTTGAGAGGAGATAATTATCCTCATAAGAATGGGAGGGGTGGGGGGCCGGCAAAAGCATGCAACAGAAGAATTCTCAGCAGTAGCTCCATCCCCTTACAGCATGGGAAAGTATAAATTAGTGAAATCAATTACATTGTCATATTATAGAACTTTTCACGTTTTTCTGTGTGTAGATGGTGAAAGTTAACTCTTATTTCTAAGTTTTCTTAACTCATACTGTTCTCTGCCTTGAGCTTTATTTGCTTGAGTCAAACAATCAGGTCAGATAGTCTTTGTAGTTGTGAGTGGAGTTAGCAGATCTACAGAAGGTGCTCAGATGTGTACAACTCAACAGAAGCAATTTATCTATCTAGCTTAACTAATAATGTGGCAGCCATGTAATGGGAGCTGGCATGCTTGCTTCCTACCCTTATTGTTGTAGGTTGAAAGCACTGTTAGGTAATATCTTGAAAGTTTGTCTGTCAGTGCCATGCATATCAGCATGCATTCATGATACTATTGAAGCCACTTTTGTTTGATTTTCGGTTTTCTACCAGGTATAACTGTTGGTTTTTTCCTCCCTTGATTTCCTATATAATTTGTTTTTTATTTTGGATATAAGTTCAACATTTTTAAAAATCTGTTTGCAACATTGTCTGTGATTTAATTCTTATCTTGACACTGAAAACTATGTTAAAAATAATAATTGTATGTATGTGTATACATATTGTAATCTTCCATTCATTAGAAATACTATCTTTGACAGGGCTTCCTTTTTTTTTAATTTTACAGCTAAACCAGATCTTGATTTATTGTGTCTAATCTTCGTTTTGTAAAATATAATAATTCCAGCATTATGAGGCGCATTCGCAAAGCCTAAATCACATTTACCTTTTTTAAACGTTAACAATTTATTCTGAAAAGAAGGGGGTTGGGGGGGAAGTTATACATTAAAAAAAACGTGTAAATCTTTCTAGTATTAGGTAGGCGTTTGTACTAAGCATTGATGTTTCTTTATGGTCCTCTGGCCTGTTGTTTTGAAGCATGAGAACACATTGAGTGATGGCTAGAATTAAAGAGAACATGCATTGTTTAGAACTCGCAGAAATAATTACCATAAAAAACCAGATGTGTTCACATTCTGATGTGGGTTAAAGAAATTGCTTTCATGCTGGGAAACTGCAGCTTATACAACTGGCACAGCTCGAGCTGAAAAATAAAATAATTTGGTCGCAATATATTTTTTGTTTTGATTATTGTTGCAGTTAATGGTTTCAGTTCCTGCATGTTTTCGCAATAGAAGTTTTATAGTGGTACCAACCACTAAAACATAATGTCTGCTTTCCGTTAGTATTTGCACAACTGGAAGTGGCTGAATGCATAGCCAGATGTATGTAGTATACTCTGGCCAAGTCTAAAAAGTCGGTAAATACTCAAAATGCTGGATGGGAATTCACAATTAGTCCATGGCACATCAGGCATTACTTAAGACAGGAAGAGTTAAGTATGTGTTTATATTGACATAGGTTTTTCTATGTAACTTTCATATAAAAAAATTATTTTCTAAGCTTTAACAATGTTTTACAAATTCTGTTTGTTTTCTTTATTTATGACAGACAAAGACTATAAATATGTCAGTTATTTATTGGGTAGGACTGAATAAGTTGGTAGGACTGAATAAGTTGGTTAATTTTTACGCATAATAAAACATACATAAATATTATCATTTGTTAGCATTCTGTGTTTAATGGTGTTCCCATGAGATATGCTTCTATTGTTGTGTTGTGTGTTAAGTCTTTGTATATTCTAAGCTGACAACCACTGTCTAAAATTATAAGAGAGGGGGAGCATGTGTGTGTATGGGGGTTATAAACAATTCTTTCCATTTGTACATAATTAAGATATGGATCATCTGCTGTTTCTGAACATTTTCAATAGACTTTGTGGTCATGTAAGTCTTTGGCTCAAATCTGTGTCATGTCATATAAACCCCAACAATTCTCTGGGTTAGTCATACTCAAAATGGGTGCCATGTAAAATCTTGGGAAAGTAAAGGCTGCCAGCTTGGTATTGACTACATCACTCGTCAAGTCCTCATTGAAACAGAAATATGTGATTTTACCATCATAAACCTAGTGCTTGTTGAGAGGCAAATATCCGTTCCTTTGATGTGGGATCATGTGATCAGTACCAGGTAGACACCAATGAAGTTTTTAAAAAAATCTCTAAATTTGTTTTTTTTAAATTTACGTCACAATAATCCCTCCAAAAAATAACTGTATGTTCCTTCTACATTGTAGTACTTTCTTATTTTCTACCACTGGTTATAGAGGTTTGTCAGAGAGATTGCCAGACTTCTCTATATGTAGTTTTCTCTGTGTGTGTGTGTGGCTTTGTTCCATTCCAGTCCTCTGTTAGTCAGAATTATTCAAGTAACAGAAAGTGTATTGATCGGCACTTATAGAAAAAAGTTGAAAGATAGAAGAACACACTCTGTTAGTCAGGGACTGTCATTTGTTGTCTTCTCAGCCAACACTTGTTCACCCTAATCACGTGGTTCCCTGGTTCTTGGTCTTCCATAGTGGTTCCCTGGTTCTTGGTCTTCCATAGTGGTTCCCTGGTTCTTGGTCTTCCATAGTGGTTCCCTGGTTCTTGGTCTTCCATAGTGGCAGATCCTCTCCCATTCGGCATATAAGTTCAGACCATCGTAACTGAGACTAGTCTTCTTGTGTTTGAATTTATAAGGCCTGGGTTTCAATGTCCTAATGTATTGTCTGATTGTGAACTTTATCCCTTGTCAGATGGACCGCTACAGATATCTCATTTCTGAGGCCTGAAGTTGGCTTCTGTGAGCTGTTGTTATTGCCCGTGACTCACACCCCTACAACAGTGGAACAAAGGGGATAAATATGGACGATTAGCGGAAAATGTGGATTAGTAAAGAGTGCATATTCTGTAAGAGAAACTTCATTGAATAAGGAAATATGAGTTGGTTCAGAGTTCTGACATTAGGGAATGGTTGTACACTTGGGCAATGATTACAAAAAAATACCATATATTAATTTTTTTTTTAAATATATAGACCAATAAATTTGCTTAAGATGTAAAATGTAAACATTTTAATATTTCACACTTGCGCAGTGCTCATTGTACATCATAAAAAATTTTAGTTCCAAATATCAGTACATACTCCTAAATCACCAATTGAATACGCTACTTTGTGACAAGACATCCAACCACAGAGTATTTTTGACAATCAGTACAAGCATTCCTAACAAAAAGCGAACAGCTTCAACTTCTAGTTTCCCAAGATTTTTTTTTTTTTTGTTGAGACGATAGTAAGTGTATAAGGATAAAACTGTACTCTGTGTAGTTAGTATTCATCGTGCTGTGTTCTGAGGTACCGGGAAAGGGGTGGGGGACATCCATTTCCCTAAACTAGCAGGCTGTAAAAGTCTGTGGTTAAGAAAATTAGAATTTTGAGAGCATGCATCTTCCCTGTAGCTACATACGGATGTGAGTCGTAGACTATCTCTCAGTCCCTAAGAAAGAGAATAGGGGCTTTTGAGCTGAAATGCTATATAAAGATTCTCAGAATATCTTGGACAAAGAAGATGAGAAATATTGACATCTTAAAAGACCTGAATGTCAAGGAAGGTTGGCTAATAAACAACATCCTTTCTCAAAAGCTGAAATATTTTGGTCATATCAAGCGCCACGACGGATCGGAAACAATTATAGCAGAAGGCATGGTACCAGGAAGGAGGGGCAGGGTCCGACCGACACGAAGATGGGCACAGGATATAAGTGACTCCTTGAGTGTGAAAGTGCATGTGGTGGGGGAACTGGCGAGAGACCGAGTTTCTTTCAGGCAGACTGTGATGAGAGCGACGTTCTGCAAAGGACCTGCTAAATGATGATGAGCATGTTGTAAAAGTTAACTAATTAAGGGTGTTTCCTTCGCAGCCATCATGCATCCGCACGAGAAACAAGGAGTCAACAGTCTGCATACAAATAAGCTAGATCTGTGAAAAAGATGTGCTCACAAACCCCGACCGAGTTCAGGAACAAGACCTCCTCGTGAGGGTACCGGGCCCCACTGTTGGGAAAACAAGAATAGATCACCTGCCTTCCTGAGGGTCGACTGACTGTATTAATGTATTAATGATACTGAGAAACGATCAAGTGGAGAGAGCAATATTATGTGATGCATCATATAAAATACAAGTTATTTAGTTAGGTGGAACATTGTTACACTCCATTGGGCATATAGGGCTAGACCTATGTTTGATAGACCATCGGCACTTGGTGATGTCAGCATCACGCCTAGGTGTGGCATGTCAAGAAATAAAAGCAGTGAGCTCATGCTGGCATCAGCAAGCTCAGCGAAGTATGAAAAGGGCGGGGAAAGGGGACGGGACAAACAAGCGGAGACAATCGATCGTTTTGACGATCTTTATCAACGAGCCCCTCAGTGAAAGAAGATATCATAATATTACATCAATACGGGAGGCAGAGAATACTATAGATAATGTGAAGTTGATTTTACAGATGAAATTTTACAAGTAATTTGGCGTTTGCAAATGTGCACAATTGACTCTATAAAACACAGTGATTGCTAACAGTTTAGTCATGCATCCCTCAGTACTGTTGTGTTGATAGACGTAACATTCTGATGCTAAGAATGGCAAGCCCTAAATAGACTAAAGATAACACGATTACACATACGGCCCTTGGGAATAAAAACACAATCCATCTCCACATGGATATGAACATTGCGACATTTCGTGCCGGAGTAGTAGTTCCTGTATTTTCTGTATTATTGATTGACGCCGCCACTTGCTTTTGCGAATCGTTGCAGTTTTTGTGAAGATACAAAGACCCAGTCTGCAGTTCATCATGTTTAGCTGGCTCTTTCTGGAGCAGATCTGGAAGAAATAAAACATAAGGAACACATAACCCTGAAATAAAATTGCCACGGCACTGCTTTCAAGGCCTGCAGCTCATACAACTCTAGACGCTGTGGTTGCTATGGCTTGGTCGCACTTGACACAAGCGATGGTATCGATGCCATCGCAGCACTCACCGCCAGGACGCATACAACAAAGGGCATGGCTCCGTATCTCTGTTTAGGTTAATGGACATAGAGACGTAACACGGGGCCGAAAGAAATGGACATTTCACCAAGAGCACACCTCAACATAGAACAGGCGTCACCAGAGGTTTTGATGATTACATCGGAACACATGAAGATCTCTCCTGAGTGCTGTGATGATAATCCTTTCTAATCATTCATAATGACTCCGAGTAAATAGTCAACTAGTTACTGGGGCATAATTCTTTTAGTCCCAGGCAAAGCTTTATAAGAGCCGCCGTGGTAGAGAGGCTAGGCTCTTGCCTGCGGATCCAAAGGTCGTGGGCAAAATCCGAATGGAGCCGGAATTTTTTTCTTTTTCAAGAAAGATCTTGGCTACCTGGTCGTCGCTGCCTTAAGTGGGTACCTGGTAAAGTCCCGAGAAGTAAAGACGGCCAGTGTGATGCTAACTCCCATCACCCACCTAGTGCCGATCGGTCTATAAAATATAGGTCTAGCCCTATATAACTATTACACCAAGGGCGTGGAAAAGGGTCCTTTTTTTTACAAGTCTTTATGAGAGGCGACATCCTCCTAGCGAGTTTACTCTAGGACATTTTGTGTTTTCATTAAACAAAATAATGTTTTGATCAAGCCTACTTGGGGAGTAGTAGACTTATGATTTGTCAGTGCACGTTTCTTCTATCTTGGGGAGTAGTAGACTTATGATCTGTCAGTGCACGTTTCTTCTATCTTGGGGAGTAGTAGACTTATGATCTGCCAGTGCACGTTTCTTCTATCTTGGGGAGTAGTAGACTTATGATCTGTCAGTGCACGTTTCTTCTATCTTGGGGAGTAGTAGGCTTATGATCTGTCAGTGCACGTTTCTTCTATCTTGGGGAGTAGTAGACTTATGATCTGTCAGTGCACGTTTCTTCTATCTTGGGGAGTAGTAGACTTATGATCTGTCAGTGCACGTTTCTTCTATCTTGGGGAGTAGTAGACTTATGATCTGTCAGTGCACGTTTCTTCTATCTTGGGGAGTAGTAGGCTTATGATCTGTCAGTGCACGTTTCTTCTATCTTGGGAGTAGTAGACTTATGATCTGTCAGTGCACGTTTCTTCTATCTTGGGGAGTAGTAGACTTATGATCTGTCAGTGGCAGTGCACGTTTCTTCTATCTTGGGGAGTAGTAGGCTTATGATCTGTCAGTGCACGTTTCTTCTATCTTGGGGAGTAGTAGGCTTATGATCTGTCAGTGCACGTTTCTTCTATCTTGGGGAGTAGTAGACTTATGATCTGTCAGTGCACGTTTCTTCTATCTTGGGGAGTAGTAGACTTATGATCTGTCAGTGCACGTTTCTTCTATCTTGGGGAGTAGTAGGCTTATGATCTGTCAGTGCACGTTTCTTCTATCTTGGGGAGTAGTAGGCTTATGATCTGTCAGTGCACGTTTCTTCTATCTTGGGGAGTAGTAGGCTTATGATCTGTCAGTGCACGTTTCTTCTATCTTGGGGAGTAGTAGGCTTATGATCTGTCAGTGCACGTTTCTTCTATTTTGGGGAGTAGTAGGCTTATGATCTGTCAGTGCACGTTTCTTCTATCTTGGGCCTCTATCCAAGGATCTTTACGGGACATGCCACAGCAGCCTTAGCGTTCGTTGGCGATTTATGGTTTCCTTTTCAGAAATTTCTTATCACTTGTACAACTGTTCGAGGTCTATAACAGTGTCGAAAGCAACACATAATGGTTTCTTTTTTAATCGCCTCAAGCCGAATTTAACTGGATAATTCAGGGTTATAAAACTGAGCTGATAATCCCCAAGCCACAGACAGGGACTGCGACGTCAAGCAGGGTTGTTAAAGTAATGATGTATTTATCACATTCCACTTGGAATTACTCCAGTGGTTTGTGAGTCTAAAAGTTGAAATAAAAAATTTGCCTTTTTTATGAAATAGTTACAGAAGGCATTGGGCTAGCTTGCTTGTGTGTCGGCCACGAATTCGATTCTTCACTAACATGGGGCAAACTTGCTAACTCGATATATCTCCCTGGTCTAACTAATCTAAAATTGTTTGCTACCTAACTATCGTCTGTCTGTGCCTCTACATTCCTGTATTCCACGAAATTTATTAAGCTTTCCTAAAACAAGCAGATGAGGAAAGAGGAATCATGAAACGTGACAGTTTTCTTAATACTAGTTAAGAATGTTATTAAACAGTGCGGCTGGAACTGCATTTGCCATTGACTCAGAATAGAAAAGACCAGACTTTCACATCAAGCCCTCACCAGAAGGGAAAAGAAAGCGGGGAACGACTGACAGAAAGACCCCTGAGAAACCTTAGAACCATCACCAGGGAAGGATCAAGCATGGGCCTAATAAACACCCAAGACCTAAAAAAAACTGGTGGCAACGAACCGCCAGACATGGAAAGCTATGACCTCTGCTTTATGCGCTGCCCTAGGCTCAAGGGAAAGACTAATTAATTTAGGAGGGAGTCAGAAACATAATTCGCGCAGTTTAGGTCAGTTTTCTAAGTACACATTTATAATCAGTCAAGATAAATGTATGCTTTGTGACGTCAGTTCTAAACGCATAAGGATGTACAAGAGATACCTAATAATGGCTTCTCACTGTCAGTATCCTGGCGCAACCTATGGCGAATGTCTAACTCACATTTAGGCGACTGGCTGCATGTTGTCAAGTCTGAAATTAGAAATGAGCTTTATTCTAAAAAAGGGAAGGTGACAGAGTGACTGTAGAAATGAGCTTTATTCACAAATAGGGAAGGTGACAGGGTGACTGTAGAAATGAGCTTTATTCACAAAAAGGGAAGGTGACAGAGTGACTGTAGAAATGAGCTTTATTCTCAAAAAGAGAAGGTGTCAGAGTCACTGTAGAAATTAGCTTTATTCACAAAAAGGGAAGGTGACAGAGTGACTGTAGAAATTAGCTTTATCCTAAAAAAGGGAAGGTGACAGAGTGACTGTAGAAATGAGCTTTATTCTAAAAAAGGAAAGGTGTCAGGGTGACTGTAGAAATTAGCTTTATTAACAAAAAGGGAAGGTGACAGAGTGACTGTAGAAATTAGCTTTATCCTAAAAAAAAGGGAAGGTGACAGAGTGACCGTAGAAAGGAGCTATATTCACAAAAAGAGAAGGTGACAGGGACTGTAGAAATGAGCTTTATTCACAAAAAGGGAAGGTGACAGAGGGATTGTAGAAATGAGCTTTATTCTCAAAAGGGAAGGTGACAGAGGGACTGTAGAAATGAGCTTTATTCTCAAAAAGGGAAGGTGACAGAGTGACTGTAGAAATGAGCTTTATTCACATAAATGGAAGGTGACAGAGTGACTGTAGAAATGAGCTTTATTCTCAAAAAGGGAAGGTGACAGAGTGACTGTAGAAATGAGCTTTATTCACAAAAAGGGAAGGTGACAGAGGGATTGTAGAAATGAGCTTTATTCTCAAAAGGGAAGGTGACAGAGGGACTGTAGAAATGAGCTTTATTCTCAAAAGGGAAGGTGACAGAGTGACTGTAGAAATGAGCTTTATTCACATAAATGGAAGGTGACAGAGTGACTGTAGAAATGAGCTTTATTCTCAAAAAGGGAAGGTGACAGAGTGACTGTAGAAATGAGCTTTATTCACAAAAAGGTAAGGTGACAGAGGGACTGTAGAAATTAGCTTTATTCTCAAAAAGGGAAGGTGACAGAGTGACTGTAGAAATGAGCTTTATTCTCAAAAATGGAAGGTAACAGCGTGACTGTAGAAATGAGCTTTATTCTCAAAAAAGGAAGGCGACAGAAGGACTGTTTAACTGTATCTTCTTTACAATTATCACTTAATGAAGATTCGCTGGCTACTTTATATAACGTAAGCTAACTGCAAGTCCCTAAACCAACAACAGCATTTTGTTGGCTGTTTGTCATTTTACTAGGCATTTTTACCCTAATGAAACAGCATTAAAAATCTAAAGCTGAGTACCAGCAAGGAAATCAAAATTAAAATTGTGACAGCATGCATCTTTCCTGTAACACCATGCGGATGTGAGTCGTGAACCCAGTCCTTAATGCTAAATAGGAGATTTTGAGCTGAAATGCTATAGAAAGATTCCCAGAATACCACGGACAACGAAAAAAAGAAATACTGACATATGACATTTTAACAGATCTAGCTAATAAACAGCATCTTGTCTTAGAAGCCGAAATATTTTCGCCATATCAAGCGCCATGGTGGATTTAAACAAAAAATAGCAGAAGGCATGGTATCAGGGAAGGGGGCGGGCAGAGGCCGACCAATACGAAAATGGGTACAGGATGTAAGTGACTCTTGAATATGAAAATACATGACGCAGGAGAGCTGGTGAAGACCAAGTTTCTTTCTGGCAGGCCGTGTTGAGAACGACGTTCTACAAAGGACCTACTACATGATAATGATGCGTTTACAATATCATTTACATCTTCTTATAGTCAATGTCATGTGGCTTTGGGAGTCATGCCTATCCATAGCCTCCTCTCTCGTGTACTTTCACAGTTCTGACACAGATGATCTTCAGTGGCAGATGTTCTTCCATGGCAGCTGCTGCTTCTACTACTATTAGTACTACAAACCATTTTCCACATTCTCCTGCTACTACTCCCACTTATACTACTACTATTACCATCACCACCTCCAACGCCGTCACCACCTCCTTCTCTACTCGTCTTCTTCTTCTTTTTCTTCTTCTACTTCTTCTTCTTCTTTTTCGTCTTAAGCTATTGCTTCTACAACTGTAGCTCATAGTTCTAAATGTATGAGCACAAAAAATACTTTAGAGGAATTACGCGTTTTTATTGCTAGCGGAAGTCTGAATGTCAAATAATTGTGATTCAAGGTGAAAGTTATTACTATCTGAGGACTCGCCCGGCTCTCTGGCGTAGTTGGCTAAACCAGATTGCCCGGTGAGCGGGTGACGAACTCCTTGTGGTCCGGGTTCACTCCCTGGGGTAGGCAGAAAAGCCACATTTCTCCCATATTTACGGTATTTACAATGGAACCAAGGCCGAAAGGTTGCAATATCTAAAATACAGAGCCTAAGGGTTAACAACTCATGGCTTCTGGATACTAAAACAAACAAACAAACAAACAAACAATCTGAGAACTAGTCTCACCGAGCCTAATTACAAGCAGACAAGGAGTATAATTTAGGGTGAGATATAAAGTAACTGAAATGGATTAAAAGAGAACTAATTCATTATTTGAAATAGGACAGAGCAAAATAACAACGGCAATTCGGAAATATGAGAGAGTTAGAAAAAAAAAAGGTAGCGAAAATACAATAATTGGCAAAATGAGGTTACCAAATTGTAAATCCTTAGTATGAATTTTTTGGGGCTTTAAAAAAAAACTTATCTAGAGCTAAACAGTAATAACGGTACAACATAAAACAAGAAAGACTACAACAGCACTAGATAATGCAAGCCTGCCTGTGTCCGTTTGCCCATCGCCGCTTCCTATGACTCCGTCGTCCTGGACCTTTTCATATCCTTGCTCAGATTGAATTCTGTCGCTCTCAATGTCTGATTCATCCGTCCCGAATCTGTAGTTACCTTTCTCAGATTCAGACAGCAGTTCATTTTCGTCAGAATCGTAATGGTGGTGGTTATTTTCAGTGTCAGATCTGGAATTGTTTCTCTCAGACTCGTTATCTATATCCTTATCTTGATTCTCTGGGACCCAGTCTTCGGCACAGAGGGGCGATTCAGCTGTTGTCATTGTAGAGGATTAAAACCGGGTAGCTGTTGAAAATATTCGAACAATACACGATAATATCAGGATAATCAAAAGCGCCTGAGTTTACATTTGTTGATTCTAAGGCGCAATAATAAATAGTTGTAAATGGTGCGGATTAGTGCTTATTGTCTTCTTTTTGTGCACATCAGTTGTGTATGTGGGCATAATCTCTTGAATGTTGTTGAATTAAGAATCGATATCACAGCATTCGGGACACCTCCATAAGAGCCCCATCCACATCTTCAGCAGCAAGAAAAGAGTTCCAATTCCGATACAACCAGTAACTGTCTGATTGTATATCAGTCTCGCCTTTTCTCTGAGTGTTGAGCGCCGGCCAGATCCCCTGGTAACTCCTCGCAGCGCCATTTTCCCCAGGCCGTAATGTTCTATCTGTGCCTCCGCACTGTTCAATCGCTCCCAGAAGAGCCCTCACGACATCCAGCTTGTCATGCATCAGTTTATCACCAAGCGGTGCCAATCGGGCTAATCTCTCTGCCTGCTCGTTTCCCAACACACCGGCATGACCTAGAAAACATATCTTACTTACTTACTTACTTAGTCGCTCCTCTTCTACCTTGGGGTGTAGAGGTTTGCCAGAGAGATCGCCAGACGTCTCTATCAGCAGTTTTTTTTTCTGGATTTGTTGCATTCCAGTCCTCTGTCAGTTAGGGACTGTCGGATGTTGTCTTCCCAGCGCACACTGGATCGTCCTGGAGGTCTGGTTCCCTGGTTCTTAGCCTCCCATGCCTGCCATGGTGGCTGATTTTCTCCCATTCTCCCATAAAGGATTCTAACTACCCAGGACTTCTGTAGTGATGTTTGCCACTCTTCACGTTGCATGTCTGTCTCCATCTTTCTCAACATGCTCTGTGAGTCAGTTACAATCACGGCATGTGTGTACAGCTGATTCTCAAGCCAGCTGAAGTCAGCAGTGGCTACTTCCACCTCCATTCTCAAACTAGACGTTGTGATATATATGCCAGGCTTTGTTGCACTAGCGACGTCCATTCGCTTTTGCTATGAACCCGCATGCACTTCGTTTGCACACAGCTAGAATAGAAGGCATACAATCACGACAAACGTTTTTTTTTGCATGGGAGACTATTTCTTGCGTATGTTTTAGAAGTTTTTATTTTACCAGTTGCATCCCTTGTGTGAATGTTGTCAACATCATGGAACGGAGTTTTCAACCTCATGCAAAATACTATTAACAATGCATGCAATCCGTATTTTAACCTGTCTGCTCGTTTTGTCTCAGGGAGTTGTAACTGCAAGTTTTCTACTTCACTGGTTTAGTACCACAATGACAAGTCATCATCATCATCATCCCTTCTGCCATTAAGCTTTGGGGGAGGAACAGTTTGCGATCCATTGCTTGATGGGCAGCAATGCCTACTGTCATTCCGTGTAGACGTAGAAGCTCTTTAATGTGTTCAATCCAAATTCTCCTAGGACGGCCTCTTGCTTTCACTTTAGATCCTTTCGAGTGTAGTATTAGTAGTTGTTCTGGCTGCATTCTTATTAAATAACCAAATCCATTTGATCTGTTTCTCACTCAATCTGCTACATAGTGGTGTTCCTATTCTGTCTGATAATATCATTTCTAACGTTGTCTCGGATGGTTAAGTTAGCGGCTTTTCTCAGTTGTTAATTTTACGTAGGTTAGTTCACAGTCACAAGTAACAGTTTTTATTCTTTAGTGACTTGTTGTTCCTTAAGACCATGTCCATGTGATGTTGGTTACCTTCTGCATCGTGTATTTTAAATCACTTCTGACACAGATGATCTTCTCTGACATGATGTCAAACTGTCTAGCATCTTCTCTCTCTGCCTCCTTTCCCTTGCAACTTTCCCAGTGATTAGTGATTAGAAAGGATTATCATCACAGCACTCCGGACACAGTCATAGGTGCTCCGATCTCCTCCTCAAAAGCTCCACAAGTGTAAAACTGATGACACCTTTTCTGTGTTGGTTAATGAAACGTCTTGTCCCCCTAGTGAAAAATGTTCATTTCTTGCAGCTCCAGGCTGCAGCCCCATGTCCATCAGTCTAGACAGAGATATGGAGTCATCTCCTGTGGCGTGCTCCTCAGTACGGTAAGTGCCGCGCATGGCATTGATAACATCATTTCTGTCTTGTACTGGGCCAGCCATAGCAACTGCAGTGTCAGCAATATAGTCTACAAGCTCGTTCCCTTGAACACCCGCATGACCTGGCACAAAGATGAAGGTCAGGGCAGATGTTCGTGAAATGCTTAGGGTTTCAACCCATTCTTGCCTGATAAATCCAGCTTGGATATTTTTAAGCATTCTTATCGAGTCACTAAGAATGTAAACGTGTGTGAACTTTTGAGTGCAAAGCCATGCCAAAACCCTTGTTACAGCCATAGTTTCCAATGTAAGGCTACTAGTTGTAACGGCAAAGGCGCCATTCATCTCCTTGATGGTTTTCCCTCCATTGAGCTTACAGTGAGTGTCCCATGCACTTCGCTTGCCCCGAATTACTGACCCATCTGTGTAAACTACAGCATCACCTTCATCTATGTTTTTGTCAATCAGTGTTCTGACTAAAGTGTCAACAATGCCAGGAATCTGCTCTCTATAGCTTCTATCACTTTCCGAGTGCCACGATGTACGCCAATCTTGTCCTTCTCATGACATGACCAAAGAATGTAGATTGCCTTCTGTTGTGTTCTTTTTTCTCGTTCTTGTTTTTCCTATTATTTTTACCGTCCAGTCTATTCTCATCATAAAACCACATTTCCACCGCTTCCAAAAAAGTTTTAACTAATCCTCCAACTGTCCATGATTCACTTAGTTAAATATTATAGGATTTATATAGCTCTTGCGAATTATCTTTCCCTTCTCAATTGACAAAGAACCATTATTAATGATTTAATACAAACATAAAGAGAGAGAGAGAGAGAGAGAGAGAGAGAGAGAGAGAGAGAGAGAGAGAGAAAGAAAGAGAGAGAGAGAGAGAGAGAGAGAGAGAGAGAGAGAGAGAGCTAAAGTAGCAATGGGACAGATACACTGACGTATAAAAAGGAAGGAGAGAACACGAAGCCGGGAAAAGCATTCCTTATATAGTCGAGGAATGCATATAATCTTTACCAGCACAATCCTGAAAGCTTCACCAGGCTGATGTAACCATTGGATTTCCCCAATTAGAGCTTCGCTGGAAGATAAACGGGATGTATAAGATTAGTCATGCTGGTTTGCTATGCAGATGGTGGTGAAATCTTCAGACAGAAGCCGGCAGGGAAACCAACAGCACACATGCACTAATAGAAAGTTTCTTTGTCTTGAAGAAGTGACAGCAATTATTAACACTTGTTCTATTTTTGTGCTGTGTTTTCAATCAGTGTAAAATAAAAAACGCATACGTTTTTTGTGTGTACTGGGTATTTAGTGTGTGTTGCCCATTTTACACAGAAGTCAGCACTTAATGAGCAGTTTGGTAATTAGCGTTCTGTCGAACTTTTTTTCCCACAGGATCCGTCTTCCAGTTTTTGTATATCTCTGTCAGGGAACCCGGGATAATTTTAAAAACCCTGACAACTGGTATTGGAAACAACGACTAACGACCGTCAGCGACGCGTGCTAATCACACTGCTATCAGGGCTCCCTTTATATAGATTACATATTTTTCGAATGCCTGTCTGTCTATATGTTTACTTTTGTGTCTGTCAATTAAGACAGACGTGGTTAGGGCTTTATAGGAGCACATGTACAATTTGGAACAGCGAACTCATCATCACAGTCTGAGAGTGATGCAGAGAGATCGACAGTGACGAGAGATCTGAACTATATTCGACGCTCAGAGAAAAGCAAGACGGACATACAATCAGACTGCTACACTGGTATTTAAACTCTACTTTGGCTGCTGAAGATGGGGAGGAGACGTTTATGGAAATGCTCCGAGTTCTGTGGTGTCGGTCATTGAAAAAACTCAGCTCAACTTTCTGTCAATAAATCTGCCTCTTTGACCATCCGTTGGTTTGTTATAGTGAACATGCACATCAGATTCTGCACAGCATTCGTACATTGCTTACAAATCAGGTGATCATACAAGGTTTTCTTTGGCATGTGGTAGACATTACTCTAAGATACGGTATGCGAATTCAGACATCCGGTACCTTTCCTCGTTGACAATACTTCCCACTACTCAGGAATGTATGTATGTATGTATGTATGTATGTATGTATGTATGTATGTATGTATGTATGTATGTATGTATGTATGTATGTATGTATGTATGTATGTATGTATGTATGTATGTATGTATGTATGTATGTATGTATGTATGTATGTATGTATGTATGTATGTATGTATGTATGTATGTATGTATGTATGTATGTATGTATGTATGTATGTATGTATGTATGTATGTATGTATGTATGTATGTATGTATGTATGTATGTATGTATGTATGTATGTATGTATGTATGTATGTATGTATGTATGTATGTATGTATGTATGTATGTATGCATGCATGCATGCATGCATGCATGCATGTATGTATGTATGTATGTATGTATGTATGTATGTATGTATGTATGTATGTATGTATGTATGTATGTATGTATGTATGTATGTATGTATGTATGGATGCATGCATGCATGCATGCATGCATGTATGTATGTATGTATGTATGTATGCATGCATGCATGCATGCATGCATGCATGCATGCATGCATGCATGCATGTATGTATGTATGTATGTATGTATGTATGTATGTATGTATGTATGTATGTATGTATGTATGTATGTATGTATGTATGTATGTATGTATGTATGTATGTATGTATGTATGTATGTATGTATGTATGTATGTATGTATGTATGTATGTATCCATGCATGCATGTATGCATTTATGTATGTATATATGTATGTATGTATGTATGTATGTATGTATCCATGCATGCATGTGTGCATGTATGTATGTATGTATGTATGTATGTATGTATGTATGTA